AACTAAAATGTGTTAACAGCACATGTGGGAGATAGAGTCAACTGATCTTATTTTCTTGTACTTTAAAGATCACATTAAGTGTATAGATCCGGTTGATACCATTTGCACTTGCTGTATGGCAGGAAGATTAAATGCATCAGCTTGACCTCCTTCCTGTGCTTACGCGAGGTTGTCCATGGCATGGATATGAGAAACTCCTGCTTGTAGCATCCCTGCATACTGTTAAACTTCCAAGTAGGGTCTTGGTGAGCGTGTGGGTCCTAGATAATGTTGAATGTGGGGTGTAACCACAGATGCTCATCAGAAATACAAAGTAGTATTACCCAAGATGATTGAAGAGAAAACAGCAGTAGGAAAGCTGCATGACATAAAACACAAGGGGGGAGTCGGCCAAGTGGAAGGAATATGTGGTTCCATGTTACAGTGTGAGACTGACTTCTTCATAGCATTTAAATTTCAGCTCACCATTCAGTTATTTGCAGCCTTGAAAGCAAAACAAAGGTCTGAGTTAAACTATAGAAATAACACTTTATTAAGGAATACTTCTGCCTCTGAAGCATGCTGAAGTACTATGTGATAACACAAGTGGCAACTGTCCACTAGAACTAGGAGACAAAAATCTGAGAATGCTTAGAAAGACATGGAGGATCTCAGCACACAGATGAGTCCTGAGTACTACAGCTGGAGCTTCTCTGTCATACAGTGGTCCCAGTCCTGGGTTTACCCATCACAGAAGCTTTGGCTGAACCCACAGTGCTGATGCAAACAATGGATCTGCTTTCTGTATTTCAAGTATGGTTCAGCAAAGCACCTTCCACCAGTGCTTAAAGAACCATCTGGATATATATATATACACACACACACACCTAAGGAGGTAGGGTGCCTGGAGTTACAGTTCAACACTTAGATATTGATTTACTTTCTCCAACCTTGTATTGCAAAGTCATATTTGTGTGCCCTCCTTTGCCAGGGATGTGGTCCTAAATATACACAAGATTTCTTTTTCCTTGACAGTCAGATGATTGTGGGCAGTGCCAAGCTAAGGTTCTCACTGTGGTTCCCTTACACAGACCACCTGGGCCAACTAGCAAAGGCAGGATCCCAGTCTCTTTTCTCACCAGTTTTCTCCATGCCTTTCCTTGCAGTTAAATTTTTATGACTTATGGGAGATTTTTGGGTCCTTTCTAAAGGAAACATTGTTGGCTTTCCTTTGATATTACCTCTTGACCTTGCAGAAGGGACAGAGGGGTCGATACTGGGATGCCAGTTGTATCAGTCAGAGAAGTCAGACTTGAAAAGGCTCCTAGGGCTGTCACAAACAATCACCTTCTAATCATACAGAGCTTCCCAGCTCTTCTGTGCTGGAACAGTCTTCATGGCCAACTACCAGGGCCTCAGCTTCCAGTAACTGTGCCATGCTGCTGCTTTTTCTGCTCCTTTTAGGGGGTGCCACAGAAAATGAATCCAAACATACTTCTCCTTCAACTCTCAGCAGCATCAATATTTTCTTCTCAGATGAGCTGCTTTCATGGATCTCCTGTGAGACACTTCCCTAATTCAAAGCTTTTTGGCTGTTTCTCAGCTCAAGATACTAATTGTGCTTGAGATGAAAAACAAGCACATTTGGCAGTGCTAAATGAAACTAACATTAGTATGTGCTTCTAGTGAGACATTTTGGCGTGGGACATACACAAAAGTTAAATTATCACAATGATAAACACAGCAGTAAGAAAGAAGATTTGTTTCTTGTGTTTGTCTTAAAGACAAGTGCAATTTAATATTTTCTTCCTGTACACTTTGTTTTGACAATGTTTCTCAAATACCTTTAATTTTCAAACCGTAATCCTTTCAGCAATCCTAGGCCTAGTCTGAAAAACATTTTGTTCTGATTATACTGGAAACAGAACATCTGAAGTATCATCAAACCACTCGCTGTGAATGCATCACTCAGAAAACCATGTGTGTCTGGTTTTTTTTTTTTTGAGACTATTAATGGAAGGCTTCACTGAATTTATGTACAGTTGTTCTTCTTGCAATAAGAGATAGCAATAATTTAAGATTTAAAAAATAAATGCAAATTTCTCTAATGTCACCCTATGCAGAAGATGTTTGTTTCTTTTTTGCTCCCCAAAAATGTATCACTATACCCTCACATACAGCATGGATGTCTTAAATCAGAGTTCCAGTACTGGACATTGTTCCAGTAACAGCCTCCCTGTGAATGGCTCAAATAGACCCTCCTAGTGAGAGGTAACTGGAGCTGAATTCTGCAGCACACCTTTTCCTTTTGAGACATTCTACACAAAGAATTACCTGACACATTTCTCAAAAAAACCCGTAGCAAAATAAAAGTGATTTGGAATTCTGTTCTGAAAGTTTAGTATTCAAGAACAACTTTGAGGCTGCCCTGAGCCTACCAGACTGATTAAAAATGCTAATCAGAAGCTTGTATGATTAGGAGATTAGTACTGTCTGAACTTTGATCTGACTCATTTGTGTACACAGGAAAGGAGAGACACACACCGTCACACTGAGAACTGCTTTCACGGCAGCAGATTTCTCCTCTGTAAGGAATTCACAAAGGCACTCCTCACCGTTTTGGTCCTTGTTTCTTGTTTTCAGTGGTTCACAGGAAAGGCCACAGGATTTGTATAGTCACTAACTGTTAACTTTAGACCAGACAAGAAAAGGAAAAAGTTCTGTGTCAAAGCAGGCAATATTGTAACTGCATTCCTGTTACTAACCATGTGCTTTGGTTTGATCCATGTGATGTTCATAGGATCTGACAGAATTATGAAAATCCCTCACATGTGAAACTCAGGACTTCTAACAATAGTAAACAACACATTGACACAAATATGGAATATCTGTGAATGATAGCCTCAACTCCAGACACAACCTCAGTGGTTGCAAACTTGTAATTGCATGTCTTAATATCAGTAAGGGGTTTCATGGCTTTGAAAATATCTTTAGTGTACAGAGTAAATAAGTAAATAAACACAGTAAACATAAAAATCACAAGCAACTTTCATCAGTTGTTGGAAGAGACTCAACCATTAGAACAGCTTATCTGAAGCCCTTATAAATGAAGAATGGTCAGGCATTGGAATGAGCTGCCCTGGGAAGTGGTGGAATCACAAACCCTGGAAGTGCTCAAAAAATGTGTAGGTAAGAACTGATGATTTTACAGGCCTTTTACAACCTTAATGATTCTACTATTCTAAGCAGACTATAAACTTATTTTACTGAAAATCAAGCAAATCTCTGCAATCTCCTCCAGTGTCACCATTCTTCTATTGCTAGATAAAATCTTCATACAGAAAACTACAGTCTTGTCAGCACTGCAGCTCTCATTAAACACACACAAAGGGGATGGCAGAATAATATTTGCCTTGCCACTTTGAGTGGATGGAGAGGCTTTAATCCCAGAAAAGAGGTGATGGAAAGCCATGTGAAGAATTAGCTCCCATCTATTAAAACAGCTGTTAGGGTATAAAGTGGCATCTCTACTGACATGGCCAACAAATACCTTCAGTGGAGCTTAAAGATCTTCAATGAAAAAAACAAGTCCCCTATAAAGGTGCTGATCTAAAGACCTTCTGTTGCCTTTATCCAGCTTCCATTGCCTCTGTGTCTAATTAGCCAGTAAATTCTTTTGGTCAGGGATAGCTTTTACTGTTCTGGGTTCGACTTTGAGATTTTCTATCTGGCCATGGAGAGAAATCAAGAGACATAACCTGATTTGCAATCTTCTCTATTACCTTTTTGTGTAGTAGGTAAGAGCTCTCACAGTTACTGTTTCTCTCTCAGCAGCTATAAAGGGAATGAAAAAGAGGAGACTGGAGGATGTCTCAGTGTCGTTCTTCTGACACGTTTTCCTGCTTTAATGTAAATCACAAAGTCAAAAACCCACCAGAGCCCAGATGCCCATGGAGCTTGGACAGTTAAGAAAACACAAATTTCTGTAGCTACATGCATGTAAGGAAGCAACAACACCACCACCAAAGCTCCTCTTTGGCTCTCCAGCTCAAGTAATGCCTTTTGCACTTGAGACAATTGGCCATCTTCAGAATGAATCCAGAGCAATTTCACATGCAGTGTGTACCAGAGCATCCTGAGCATTGTGCCTCTGCATCTTACTATAGTGGATAGAATTCACAAGCAAAAACAGAAAACACATTTGAACAATGGGAAAACAGAGAATTGGTGATATTTTATTTGTGATTATTTGTTTATGTGGGCTATTATAATTATGAAACCATGACAAACAATACCAGATACATGTTGTATTTTCTGAAGAACATAGACAATGATCCAGAGGGAGCCACCTGAAAGGCCTTCTGTTGCAAACCAAATCAAAAGGAAGATCAGGTGAGTTAATCCCGTTTTGTCTACATGTGTTTGCTCATGTGTTTCTGTGAGGAATACAGAACCGATGCGTGCGCTATACGAGGAAGTTCCCACGACTCATTGGCTAATAGTAACCACTTAATTAATGTAAACATGAAATTTTAGTTAAATAAAAAAAAAAAGAAATTTAACCGCGGTGGCACAGCCTAGAACTAACCACCATTTCACAAAATGGGTCATTAATTTGTCATCCCAAACACCCCGCGTTCGTTGCAGCGCAAACTGCGCGCAGAAGCGCCATTCTCCCCATGGAAGCCCATCTTGAAGCGCATCTCCTGAGACAGGTGGAAGAGCCCCGAGCCATCCGCGCTCCTCACCAGCCCCGGGGCGCTGCTCGCGTTCCAGCGCGCTGCAGCCCCTCAGGCGACGCGGCCCCGGCCCCGGCCCACGCCTCTGCCCCGCGGCACCTACCGCTGCCCGCTCCCCTCCGCGCTGGGACGCCAAGCGCGACACCGAGAGCCGGGCATTCCTGCGCCGGGCAGGGGAAAGGATTAATTTCGCCAGTTAATTCCTTCCCCCCGGCCCGGCGGTGGGGGAGGGAACATGCGCGTTGCTATGGGTGCCGGAGGAGCACCCAGAAAGTTGCGGGAGAGGGGCGGGGAGAAGGGGCCGAGCCGCCCGCCGGGGCTGAGAGCCCGCCCGGCACCGCGCTGAGAGCCCGCTGGCAGCTGCTGTCACCGCGGCGGCTGAGCCGCCCACCTGCCGCCTACGGCTGGCGGCGGGGGAGGGAGGCAGGAAAGGGATAAACTTCAAACTTGGCCGGGCGGGTAGGGAGCCGCATGGATGTGCCCGTCCCTCGGCGCTGACTCGCAGCCCGCGGCGCGCTGTGGGGCGGCCGCTGCCCGGGGAGCGCGGGGCGCCGCCGCGCCGCTTCCTCCGCCGCCGGCCATGGGGCGCGGGGCTCAGCCCGGCCCCTGAGCGCGCCGCCTCCCCCCGCTCCGGGCTGCCGCCGCCTCCCCGCCCGCCGCCACCTGCCTCTCCCTCCGCTGCGCCGCTGCCGACCTGAGGCCCTGGCTATCGGCTTCTCTTCGCGCTGCAGCCCGACCGAAATGGAGCCGTCCGCGGGAAGCCGCCGGGAGTGATCCCCGCTTTCCCACCGACCCACTGGCCGCCCCCTCGGCGCCCGCGCTCGCTCCGATGGAGCTGGAGGAGACGCCGCTCGCCCCTCCGAAAACCATGCTGCTTATGCTGAGGAAAGTTCGCAAGAGGCGGGAGATGCTGCTGCAGCAGCTGGGCTTCATCTGCGCCATCCTCTTCTTCGCCTGGTGCATGTCCAGCCTGCTCTCCCGAGCGGGTGAGTGGCAGCGGCGGCGGGACCGGCGGACCCCGGCAGGGCCGGCCGGGGCGGCCCGGGGGCTGCAGCCGCCCCGGAGCTGCCGGGGTTTGGCGGGGTCAAGCGGCGGTGATTGTTCCCGTTTGGGGTCTCCCTGTGGAAATGCTCCGGCGAGCGGGCGAGGAGGGGGAGCAGCGCGGGTTCCTCGGGAGAAATCCCCGCGCCGGGAGGATGCGCGGCTGCAGCCCGGGCACGGGGGGAAGCTGCCCGGGGACGGGGGGAAGCTGCCCGGGCACGGGGGGAAGCTGCCCGGGCACGGGGGGAAGCTGTCCGGGCACGGGGGGAAGCTGCCCGGGTACAGGGGGAAGCTGCCCGGGGACGGGGGGAAGCTGCGCCGCTGGCGCCTTCTCGTCCGGGGCTCCCCGGCGCCGAGCCCGCCGCGCCCCTCGGGTCGGGAGCCGATAGGGCATCACAGGGCAGCTCTGTGCCTGCGAACGGCCCTGAAGGAGTTTCCCCCTGCTGTTACATCAGAGAGGAGTTCTCTCCAGCCGCCTGTGGTCCCCTCTGCAACTTCGGGCTGCCTTTCGTTTTGTTCTTAGGCTGTAAATCTCCATCAGCTATAGCTGCTTATTTTCTCAATTTCACACGCACCCCCAACACCTCTCCCCTGTTACAGTATAGATTTGACAGAAAATTCTGAGTTTTAGGCTAGGAACGGTGCTAATGCTATGTTTTATAGAGAGAGTATTATAACAGAGTCTTTTGCATCATTTCTGTATGTGCTGTATTGGTAAACTGATGCATTTATAATTAACTATTTAATTCCCATTTGTTCCTCTGCCTACTGGCACGGTTTGGGCTGTACGCAGCTTCAGGCCCTCATCCTGAAATATGCTTCATGTCCCTCAAATACAAAATCTAAGGTTGCTGGGACAGCACTTGAACCTCTAGGTAGGGCTGCCAACGGTCCTTGAAGATTTAAGAACAAAATTGACTAAGTCCATCACTAAGCATCTACATTTAATGTAAGAAACTCAGATTTCAGCACAGTTAGGATGGGTCATGTGCTTAAATTAAAGCTGAAGTTCAAGGGTGTGCTTTAGGGAAGAAAAATCTGCTGGAACTTGTCATAGTTTGTAATGGTCTTGTGCTCAAATTATGGCCTGGCTTGTTTGAGCTGTATCTAGGATGGCAACAAGCCATCCATATAAGAATTTGGTGTCTTAGACCATATTAGCATATTGCTCATCTTAAAACTTTTAACTTGGAAACAAGTAATGGGGGTATGAATATGATTGCATAGCTTGAAGGATTTTTTTTTTTTTTTTTGCAGTTGCTGTTTTCCACAACTTTTTTAGGTTTTCATGAAAAATGTCATGACTAATGAAAGTTTTTAATCTCCTGGGTTATCAGCTAAATCCCTCATAACCTAATTTTTGATAGTATGCTGCATCAGGTAGGGGTTTTTTCCAGCTGGCTAATTTACAGTACATATTATCCATAAACGCTGACCATCTGTTGTCTATGTTTCTTATCATTGTGGCTCAGAATATTTTACTCTGGAAAAACTAACTTCTGAAAAAGATTTCTTTTTCCCAGGAGTCACTAAGAAAACACAGGCATTACATGAAGACAGTATAAACTCTAAAACTGGCCAAGGAGGAAGTTTTGTTATTACAATGTATTCATTTGAAATGGATAAGATTGAGTGGAAGGGATTTAAATAAGGGGTTCTATTCTTTCTTTGATTATTATAATTGCATACAGCACATGATCCCACAAGTGCTCCTGTACTCTATTTAACAGGTCTTGTTGAGAATGCTTCTGAAATATGCATTTTGGCAAAAGCTCCATTGACTTCTAAAAAATTTTTGATTTTTTTAAGACTTGTGAGAATTCATTGTGATTTCCATTTTCTTTGACAAGTTATGAATGGTTTGATATTATTAAGCATACCCAAGACTGAAAAGTTCAGAATAAACTAAAATGTAACTGGAACATATCCATATGCATTTTTATTTTTTTCGTGAAAGCAGTAATATAATATGTGTAAGTACAGATGACTAAATGGAAGTGTGATTTTTTGCTCATGTCAGCATAGCTGGGCTGGTTTCATCTATAGGAGCTGCAAGTGTTGACTTTCACAGGTACAGGCTTCAGCATTTGCTTGCTGCAGAATATTTTCCTGCTGTGGGTCACAGCCAAGTGTTCTGATAGCTCCGAGAACCAGAACATGCCAACAGCTCGGATATGGAGCCTGGTTGCACCCTTTGGAGCTAGGAGCACCTAGCACATGGCTGTTGGCATGTGCTTCAGTCACACCTTGGATTTTGCCCTGTTTGCATTCTGATGGTCTGTCCATGCTCCTTGTTAGTGGGCACGTGTAGTCCAACTGGGATGATGCAGAAAAAAATTGGTGCTAGTGGGCATAATGTATTTTTGTTTACTATAGGCCAAGATTCAGCTGTTGCAGACAGAAGCATTGTATCAGGAATATGGAGGAATAGAAGGTTGATGGCATCACCTAATGGGACACATGAAGAGAATTGTACAGAGCCAGGTAAGATGGGAATATACTTTGTAATGTCCTATAAACTCTTGAGATGTATTGGGTAGTTTTGTCATGACTAAGCTGCAGTGATGTGTAAGCATCAGTGTTAAACTTCAAAAACCCCAAAAAACCAACACTCTTCTGTGTAGAAATAAGGTTTATTGTGTTACGTAATGACATGATTTTATGTATAAAAGGCAAACGGTAATGTTCAGATAAAAGCATCTTTAGGGTCATTGTGAGATAATGCCGACAATTCAATTTCTGTAGCTTTGTTCTGTGGTGATTATTCATTTCTGTCCAGCTGATATGTGTACATTGCACAAGTCCTGAGAGGTGTGCTCCTTTTAAAACTATGGGTAGCTAAATATGCAGCGTTTTAGATGACATCTGAGCTCAGTGATTTGTGTTCATTACTGTTACACAGTTAATCATGGTTTGCTAGTTTAGTGATAAACTATGTATTCAGAGTAGGAATTTATGTTGTGTGGAGGGGGTTGATGAGGTAAGTGATATGGAAACCCTGGAATCCATTTTAGTTCAGGATGTCTATCTTGGCCAAGCAAAAAGAATTGATTGAGGGCAGGAATAGACGATGCATTTTAGTAGCAGTGTTAGTCCACAATGCTTTCATCTTCCCATCTGTCTTTCTAATGTGTATTTCCTTTCTCTCTCCTTGCCTCTCTGTAGTTTATGGTGTGTGGGAGACGAGACATTTTGCCAATGGCACTAGCCAAGTTAATTTAAAGTTCAGATTTATTTTTTTTAATGTGACTCTTTGCTAAACTGTGGTAGCAATGGAGTGTGTGCCTTCTCGCCAACAGTGTCAGCTTGAGTTCTGGGATGCTGTCGGCCCCAGGTACTAGAAGAGTTTGGAGCAGTGTTCCTGGCCTCACTTACGTGTTTGTTTTGATACTGAGGTGCCAGTTCTATAGGATCACTAGTGTGCTTACACACTCCTGAGAGAGGAATGGAAGAACATTGTTCAAAGTATGTGCATCCAAAAGTTTTAACTGCATTCTCTTGATGTCCAAGAGCTTCTCCATGCTTTTGTTAAGAACTTTGTGGGCTGGTTTGCTGTGTTCTGTATCTGTAACATTATGATGCTCTTGATCTGTCTGTCAAAGTTGTTAACAAACAAGAAAGAATATGAAAAGGACCTTTTGGAAACACATAATGATTCTTGATGAATAGTCGGAAAATACTAATCTTTCCCACTCCTCTTTCAGTTTCCTCCATATATGTGGACGCATCAATGTGATCATGTCTGAGCACATACTTGTCAGCACACTTGGAGTAAAGGCAGTGGAGGCCACAAAATTATAGAAACTAGATCAGAAAGATACCTGTCAAAGTTCTGGTGGAGACTTCTGTTTAGCATGAATGAGAACTTTTTCACGATGATATGATAGAACGACCAAGGCAAAAACATGCCTGCAGGTGAATTGTAATTCCAGAAGCAATACTGACTTCTGCACATGTTTAAAACCAATAGTTCAGCTTCCTCCATTCTTCTAAAGTCATAAGATTAGTTTAAGAACAATTGGAATAGATAAATACAGCTGGGTAATTTTGATGTGATTTCTGAAATTCAGGTCTCTGAGGTGCCCTTTTCTCCTTAACCACAAGAGATGGACACAAGGGAAGCCCAAATATGCCTCAGGATGCTGAGGTTTAAGAAAAATATCACAAAACTTGCATTCAATTAATAATTTCTAGTCACAGTAATGGTAGTAGCCTTTCTTTTAAAAAGTGTTTCTCCAGTTAGAACACAGATTTACAGATCAAATCTGTCACAGGATTGCAGTTGTAGCATTTTTAATAACTTCCTGTTATTCTGCAGTTCTGTACTGCTTATCACTGTGTATCTTCTGCAGCTGAAAGGGGAATTGAGATGCTGTAGGAGTGACTAGATGTAAGCTGCAAATAAGGGGAACATCTGAACATAGTTGAAGTTGGTGTTTGTGGGGCAGGAGTGAGTCCGTAAGAGCCCATTATTGTTATTGTTTCTGTAGATTGGGGTAGTGTTCTTTGTTGGCTTTGTTTTTTGTTATTTTCTTTTTTAGTGTATGGGATGTTGACTTGCTTTTTTTCTATTTATTTTTTTATTCTTGTTTGGTAGCCAGGGATTGAGATTTGTCATATAACGAGAAGATAGCAATGATGGAACACCTACCAAAAAAGTAGCAAGTAATATAGCTCATCTCTGTGGGAATGTAGCTTGTGTAATCACATGACTACAGAGAGAGAAGTCCCAGGAAAGGTCAAGAGACTTGGCGGAGATTGCATAGAAGATTGGCGAGAGTGTGGATTTTCAGCTGACTCCCTGTGGGCTCCTTTATGAGATGTACTTACTCTCACCTATGTCATTTCTGTGGCTGCTCTAAGTGTGAGGGGCTGTACAGATGCATGGCTGTGTGTATGGTATACTGCAGCTGTCTTTTGTTGTGTGGATGTTTTTATATGTGTGTTTAGGATACAAGAATTTCATAGTACCTTGAGAAATGCAGGTTCTTGCTGAGAGCCTGTTAATCCCTTGTGTTATAGCTGTGCTCCCATTTCATTAGCATCCCACACAAATCTTCAGCTTTACCTCCCTTTTTCCAATGGCTTTCAATGAAGTTAATATATTTACCACTTCACTCAATTTTCCTACTTATGTGTAAGTGAAAAAAATAAAAATCCCAATCATTAGATATGGCAGCTATAGAAGTTTATAAGACCATGAGATCCCTGCACATGACACTGGCAAGAAAGGCTCATCCTTTGTAATATACATGGGGATAAAAACTCCATAAGCTTCTAGAAGTAATGTTAGAAGCTTGTGAGAGCTGCTATCTTCTAGCATCTCACATAGTCTACACTGTTTCAGGTTAGTCTCATTTGCTGAAGTAGATAATTTTGTATTGTGTTCTTCTGGAAACATTGATAATGTTTCTGGGGCATTTTATCAAAGAGGAAAAATGCTTAAGTCTCAGCAATGCTGCTTTAAAAAGAACCAGGGGAGTCTGAAAGAGAACAAGAAAATACATGTATGTGTGTATATGTAACTAGAGAAGAAAAGTTGGGGTTTTTGTATCATAGGAATTATAATCATAAGAGGTGAATATCTTAAGAGGTGCTCTACATTTTTTCTGGTAGTAAGTAATATTCTGCAGTCATGAAGAGTTATAGATTGTCTCTATCCCATAGCAGCGAGGGAACTGTAGGTCAGCTGCAGGAAGGAGGTAGAGCCTTGGGAGCACCAAGCCAGCCTTGGTTCTAGTCTGAACCTAGACCAAATCCTCACCACAGTTAATGTGTTCTGTAGCATTTTTCTATAAACTTCCCCATTGTTGAAAGCTTCTCTGCTTTGGTAAGATACTGGTCTTTGTATTATCCTGGAGGCTGGAGGGCTTATAGATTGTATGTAGAAGGCTTTGGACTTCAGAAATTTCATAAAAGCCTGGGATTTTTGAATTATGAATCTTATATTTATTTGGTATTGAGTAACTCTCTGGATGGCTTCCTCTTGGAAGGAAACCAAGCTACCTTTTCTTCATGGCTCTGGGTAGATTTCTGTGGGAGGAGGAGTTGACCTGACCCTCACTTAAAGCAGAGAGATCAGAAAAGAGGAGTAGTTGTCTCTAGCATCTTAACATACCTCATTAGTTTGCAACCGATTTTTTTGCTGTATCCAAGCTCTCACTTCCATCTGCCATCAGCTTGCTAGCTTGCAGTGCCATCTGCCCAGAAAGTCTCATTTGTAGTTTCTCTGCTCCAATGACTTGCTTCTTGTTTCAAGATGTTCCTTTGACTCCATGTCCTCCAGAACTCCAAGTAACGCTTCCAGGGCACATACAAGGTGGGTAGACTGGGTGTCATGATGTTTCTTACCACATGTCTTCACTGGGGCATGTCAGGCTGTTAAACAACTGATCCAGACTCTTTGCTGTTGTGAATATTTTCAAGTAATCTCTGTATATGGGTAGAATTTTTTTTTCCTGTGAATTAGAAATAGGGATATATTTCCATTGTCTTCTGACACTAGTTAGGGAGCGGCCTTGAAACTGAAAGGCAGTGGGGTTTTCTTGCCTGTGGTTTGTCAACCATGGACAGTTCATCAGATACACTGATTTTAAATATGTTCAAGTGTGTTCCTTCCATTGCTATTAGTGGGTAAAGAGGAATTGTGGGCTTGGTGAAACAGAAGGTTAGCATTTCTTCCTGTGCCGTGCTACATGTTTAGTTTAGCATTAAAAGGCATGTTGTAGCAATGCTTTGTGTAGCTGCAGTGAGAGAGAAAGAATCAGTCCTCTACAGTAAAGTGTGTTTCCCAGTAGCATGTGTATAAATGAGTTCTGAGTCAGGATCAAAGTCATTAAGTCTGTGTATATTTTACACTGTTAGTTAAAACCTTGGGGACTCATGTAAGATGTCATGCATTGTAGAGAAACCATAGAAGTCTTAGACAGTTTTGTTAGCGTACCATAGAGAGAGAAAGAGCCTGGTATTTTTTTCTACAAAAATCAATGATGACTAGAGAAGACAGGACTGAACTCTTCCAAGAAATTTTCCAAAGGGGCAGAAAATATTATTTCTTGTACGCTTGTAGTAATGACACTAGAGGAACTATTGATTTGCATTAGTTGTATTTAACAAACACAATGCTTATTTAAATGCACAATTCTTAACATGCTGGATTAGTGTATCCTTTTTTCACTTAATCTTTATAGACACCTTAATGTATAAGATCATAAACTTAGCCTAATAAAGGCTGCTGGAATATGTAATTTTGTGCTGATGTAAGTTTTCTTTAAATGATGTATGTATTTCCTTTAAACAATGTGCTCATGATCTTCCTTAGATTAAACTTCCATTTTGTAGCAGGGATAAATGCCTCAGACCTCCACTTTTAAGGATGTAGTAGTAGTATTTTCACTGTAAACCTTAGTTTCATGAACAGCTTAAATTAGTAAGCTCAGCATGACCTGCATGTGCTCTTACTGTGCATTCATACAATACTTAGC